AGCCGACCACAAGTCGAAGCACAACCACCGATGGGCCCTCTCCAAGCTCGTCCCAAGGGACAACAATTCCGAGCAGCACACAGAACCCCACGCCGTCTACAACACCTTCGGGAAGCTCAAGCACGTCAAGCACCTCGAGCACTTCCTCGTCTTCCCCTTCGGTGACTTCGTCAACATCAAAATCCAGCTCATCTACCGGTATGTCTTTGGATCCAAGTGAGAGCACACTCTTCCCGATCCCGTCGTCTTCTCCGTCTGGGGCCTCCATTTTCCCATCTCCTACATCATGGTGGACGTCTTCTTCCTCCTCGGCCGACGGAGGTATGTTGGCTTCGTCCTTGTGCTCTGTTTTCTTCTTTTTGTCGTCTATTTTTGCACATGCTTCTGCCTGCCTTTTTTTTGTTTAACCTTTACTTGGATGCTAATATGCGGAACAGGAACCACGTTGTCGACATCGTCTAAGCAATCGTCTTCGTCAACTTCGCACTCCTCTAAGATGGTGGTTAAGACCTACACGTCTACGTCGAGTGGAAGAGTCGTGACTGTTACTTCGACTAGCTACGTGGACGCCGATCCAGCAGTGACTTCTTCCCCAGGCGACGGAAGGCCTAATCCAAGCCTTCAGAATGCAGCCCCGCGGCAAGAAGACCGCGGGATGGCCCTCTTCGCTTTGATAGGGGCAGTGATGGGGCTGGTTGGGCTAATATAAGCCCGCCAAACCAAAACCCTCGAGCCAAAGAGAGAAGAACTTTGTTCTTGAAAAGTTCAGAGTAAGAAGTTACGAGCCCACGAGTTTCCGGCCGGAGACTATTTTGGTCCGGCCTATTTTTTTTCCTGTTCTGCATTGCGCGGGGACGGACATACCCACACATTCCTTTGCATTATGGGGTCATTTGGAGCGGCTTACGTGTCTTGTTCATCGCGCATACATCTGAGGGGGTTACGACACGATATCCGCATTCCTCACGCGGGTATCTATGAACATAGAGATTTCAAGAGCGGTTGGCACAGGCTATTATTGTGGGCACGAGTTGGGGGGCATGGAACAGGGCCTGCAATAGTACACGATGAGTGTGCAGCGGTCGATGGAGGAATATGCTGTAACGACACCAGGCAATACTAGATGCGGTATGGGTAGAGCAAAACTAGGTAGCTAACAACTAGCTTTACATAATTTTGACCAAGCGTTGTTTGCAATTGAAGGTGTACAGTGCATGGCCTGGAGTACTCTCAGGTGAGATGCTGGCAGCGTGCCCACGCGTCTCCCACCCAAGGGATAGTTATGAGACGTCCTCGGGGGAATTGTTCCTTTTCTTGTTTTTTTGATACCTGGATTTTCTTGTTTTTTTCCCTTCTCGGCCGATCGCGTCGACACTTGACTAGCCAGGCCCAATCTTGGGCATGTCGTGATGCTCGCTGAGTCGCGACAAGGCCGAATTAAGTTCCTCGACCCGCTGCTTGTGCGTCTTCAGCAGCTCGGGCCGCACCCGCCCGGACTCGGCCAGCTCCTTTAACTGTTTGTGTCGTGTCTTGTTAGCGTGTCGTGTTCAAGGGGTCTTGCGAGGCATAAGGCATGGGGCATGGGGCATGGGGCAAGGGTCAGCGTACCCTCTTCCGCTTCGTCTCGAGGAAGCGCCGCTCCGTCTCGGTCTTGGAGTCGTCTTCCTCGTCGTCTTCGGCGTCTTGGTTTTGTTGTGGTGGTGGGGGTTGTTGTTCCTGTAGTTGTGCTGCTGCTGTGTCGTCGCCGCCGCCGTCTGGAGATGTCTTATTGCGCCGCCGCTGCTCCAGCTCCCGGCCCTCTTCTCCTCCCCCGTCTCCGCTCGCCGACAGCGCCTGCTCTAGCTGCTCGGCCGTCGTCTTCTTCTGCCTACTCTTGTCCTTCTTCTTCTTCGATTTCCCCACCTTGCTCCCCGCCACGCCCTTGAGCTTCAGCGGCCCCCGCGCCACGGCCGCGTATTCGTCTGCCGGCATGGCTTCTTCGTCTTCTTTCTCTCGCGCAGAAAGGGAGATTATGTGGTGTAGAGTGTCTTTGGTGGGAGAATGGCACGACGTTGCGATTGCCTTTTTTTGTTTGTTGATGGCGGCGGCGCCTGCTTCCAGACGCTGCAGCTACGCCGCTAGGTGTGTTCATAGGTCGCAAATGTTATTATGGTATGGCGGCACCTCTTAAAGTCTAGCGACAACGTGCCGGTTTGGCACTGCCTTACGTAGTGTCTCCCGTCAGCGCAGCGGTCGGCCCTGTACAGCCAGGGTGGATTGCGCCGCTGCTCAATATGCACCAAAGGGGGGCATGCCAGTTACGAGGGGAACATGAATCGCACACACCCAAACGGAAAACTCTGATTTGCTCCGGGGTCCACTGGAAAAGCTAGAAAGGTGGGGCTTGGGGCGGGGCCAGGGCCGGCTGCCGTTGGGTATATAACAGTCGGTCTCGATTTTTTTTTTACTTCCTCTTTCTTTTTTTCTTCTGTATCAAAAAGCTCACGAAGATGCCACGACCTTCACTAGAACCTCTACGGTGTCGCGTTGCCTGACCCCAATCGGGGTCGCCCTTCGGAGATCAAATCTCAAAACTCCATGATAGGAAGTCTTTCTCCCTGCACCAAATGGGTCTGAGATGCTGAATGATTGGAGACATTCTTATACTTTTGCCTTGGCTCTGATTGCTTTCTCTTCCCCCTCTCGAGTGGTTGGCGTTGAGACTCAATTGGGGTTTTGGCTGTCGGTTCGGGGGCTCTTTTTTTCCCCCGCTCTAGAGAATCAGTACATAGTGATGTTGGTGTGTCGTGCTGATGATGGCGCAGGTGATGGCCGGTTGTGTGGACTTGCCCGCGATTTTGACTTTCCGCTCGGTCGGTGCGCGCTAATGTGTGCGTGAATGTGACGGCTTTACTTGCTCCTTTTCACATTACTACCATCGTGCCACTTGTCACCGATCGCTGTTTGTCATTCGCCTTCTGGTATCTCTTGTCCATCCATCTTGTGCCTCTCGCTCTTGCATTGCAAAATCCCGTCTTCAGATGCTGCATTTGACCAGCGGCGCATCCCAGCCGCCAGGTAATTTGTCGGACCGGTGGTCTCGCCGTGGAATCTTGATATGGTGCCGCAATCCCCCAAACCCCCAACCGCGAGAAACGGCCTGGAATGCACGGAATATTCAGTCATTCCACGCCGCCACGCGAACTAGACATAACTGGCCATGTCTCTGATCTCGACGTGAAGAATCGCCCGCGAAGGGACGCGCCGGCGCGGTCTGATGGCTGATGTCGCCGTGGGTTTGTTGATAAAGGACTGAGTCAAGGTCTGTCAATGCCCTCGGTTCCTGGTTTGGCCCTTTTCCTTCGTCTCTCAGCTCATTTCCCTGCCGCCGAGGCCAGTCATTCGTTTGAAGTCAAGAGTAATAATTATCAACACACTCATTTGTTGTTGCCGTTTTCTTTTCCGAGATTGCCTCCCATCATTTGCCTTTATTATATCATTTATCATTAATCTAGACGGCGGGCGTATAACCTCTGTTTTTGGCATCCCACTCCTTAAACAGACAAGATGGGGTTAGTACTTATACCCCGGGTCGACAAGATATACATCCGGGAATCAAGAATCCCCTTGACTGACAAGAGTCTCATATTTACAGCGGAGATTTCGATGACGCTCGATACACGACGTCGTCGTTCCTGTCGTGCATTCCCGCGACGGTGACGTGGGAGCCATGGACCAAGTCGTACTGCGTCACGTACCATGCGGCGTGCAAGACGCGCGAGTGGATGGCCACGTACACGGTCCACGAGGTAGGGACCGGCGACCCGGCCAGGTGGACCCAGCCGACGCCGCCGCCCAACTTCGTCGTCACCACGGTCCGCTGCGATGTCTGCGACCAGAAGACGCAGACCATCACCGTGCCCAACGCCCTGGGCACCGCCAGGGTCCGCATCGAGGGCGACGGTGTCACGGCCGCCGTGCCTGGCGGCCGCTACATGGACGCCCCGGGCTACTCGGACGCTCGTCTGGGCTCCGCCGGTGATGGCTCTGGTAACGGCGGACATGGTGAGGACGGAGGCGACAGTCCTAGTGGGGATTCTCAGGGCCTTGGGTTCGGCGACCGTTTCGGCTACGAGGATCATGGAGAATACGACGCAATGGCTGAACCTAATGGCGGTGTTTTCCCTGGGCAGAGTGCTGCTGTTGCCTCTGAACACGAAGGTGCTTTCTCATCAAGCGATGGCACTACTTCTCATCAGCTCAGCAGTACCGCCGAGGGCCAAGCCAATGGTGCTAGTGCCGCCCGGCCCCAAGCCAACGGCGCCGCCCAGTCCCAGCCCAACACTGCGGCAGAGCACAACCTCAGCTCCAGCTCCAGCTTCATTCCCAGCTCCGGCTCAGGCGGCTCCAACTACGATCCAAACAGCCCCAAGAACGACAACAAAGGCGGCCCCGGTTCCGACTCCGCTGGTGACAACAAGAACCCTGCCTCGGGAGGCGGCCAGAAGACTGCGCCGGGGTCGCGCCCGGGCACGCCGTCGGCGACGGACACGGCCAAGCAGCCCGTCGTCACGGCGGGCGCCTCGCGAGCTCTGAAGTTGAAGATGGGCTTCATCATGTTTATGGGTTTCGGCGTCGTAGCGGCCAACCTTGTGCTGGCTTAGAATTTTTCTTGCTGTGCGTGCGTGCGTGTTTCTTTTTGTTGCCTAGAGTTCATGTTCGGATATCTTATATTTTCTATCTTCAACGAAATTCTCCCTCTTTTCTTCACTCTCGTCTCGTCGGTGTGGATTTTCCTCAGAAATCATTCGTGCCAAGATGGGGAGACTGTGGAACCGTCTTTTATAATGTAATTCCTTTCCTCTCGCTGGGAGGGTGGGTATCCAGCAGCGGCAGAAGCAGGGAACACACAGTCTTGGGTCTCGTAGGAAAGGAAAAAAAGAAAAGATACCGGTGCTGGCCCCTTTCCTTCTTATGCGGTTGTTCCTAATGCAAGGTTCAACCAAAAACACAACAAGCAAGGTTGTATAGTGTAGTGGTTATCACTCTGGATTTTGAGTCTAAACAACTCTCTGCCTTCCAGTAACCCCGGTTCGACCCCGGGTACGACCTAATTCTTTTGCTTTTTCTTCTTGGTCATCTCGTCTTTCCTTTTTGGTTTCCTCTTCTTTCTCACGGCCTTTTCTTTTTTCGTCGTTGTCCGCTTTCGTTTTCGGTAAGAAGGCGGAGTAGGGGCAAATCTCGAGAGTGTACTCGTGGAATTCGCAGGAATAAAAAGCATCACCAAAACAAAGACATGGGACCAAGCAATGGTGTTGCAATTTGAGTAGAAACAAGACTGGGAAATGCTAATCGCACGAAGCCATTACTAGTAGCACCTTTCTTCCTGCGCGGTTCAACAGAGCTACTCTGTTATCACCGCACCGTTCCACGACCAGCGATTGCTGTCCGGACCGGCCCATCACGTCTCCGCTTCAGGCATGACCCCCTTGCTGCGATGCTGGTCGCGGACAAACTCGGCAATCTGAGGATCGTGGTCGGGCCGGTTCGGAGGGCCGCCTATCTCGGGCTCAGAAGCAGCAGCAGGCTCCGGCGCCCCCTTAGACTCGCCTGCGCCGAGCACCTTGCCCACGGCAGGTATGTACTCGGACACTGCGGGCGCGCGCGCTAGTTAGCCTCTGAGAGGAACATCAGGTAGGGGTCCGCGACAGTCTGGGGAGAGAGAGGCGGGAATGTCGGCTGGGGGTGTCTTTTTTCGTTCATACCCTTCTCGACAATCGTGCCGCCAGTGGTGCCGCTGGGGTTCGCGCCTGCGCGCTTGATGGGGTGCTTCAGGCTCCTAGCGTAGTCGTCGAGCTTGGACTTGTAGGGGAAATCGGGGTCGGTGTTGCTGTCGTTGGCGTCGGCATCGGTTCTGGTGTTGGTCTTGTCGCTTTCGTTGCTGGGAGCGGGATTGCTGCCGCTGAGCGGTGCGGAAGATTGTGAAGCCATGATGGAAGGTTGGTGACGTTTCAATTGCGTTTCAAACGGCGAGCTGGGCAGGTTAAAATAAGTAGGGAGGCGAGCAAGTGAGGTATTTACTAAGATATGTGAGGTAACAGAGCTTAAGAGCTAGGCTCATGTAACTAATCAATGGTTCGGGCAATGGTGCCTTATATCTTCGAGCAAAAACATGACGTCACCCAGCAGTCAGTGATGCTCGCCAACGCCTTTCCAGCCCAACTCTCTTTCTTATTGCTCTTGTAACAAATCCCCTTTCCGGCCTTCTAGGATGAGATCTCTTAGTAAGGCTGCGTTTTCTATTTTTTTATTTTTTTATAGGAAACCCAAGACAGCCGGGCTTGACCTCAAACGATGATGTCGTCCCCGACACCAGGGGCTTGGAGGGGGAGAGGACGCTGGACAGGGGGCTGATAACCTTAATTCGAGCTGCCCCTCGGCTTATCGAGTCGCTACAGGCGAGCTGTTCAGTGGGAGCCACTCATTCAGAAGCATGTATTGAGCAAATAAGAAAAAAGAAAAAAGAAAAAAAAGTCTTGTCTATTGCGTCCTTTTTTGTTCGCGAGTAATCAGAAAAAAAACAGGAAAAACAAGAGGGATAGAAAAATAAAAAGAAGAGAGCAGCGGTAAAAAGGGGACGCGGAGAGACAGAGAACAGAACAGAAAGAAATAAGAGAGAAAGAAAGAAAACCAGACAACATGGCAACACCACCACCGGCACCCCTGCCCATCACCATTATCACGGGATTCCTGGGATCGGGCAAGACGACGCTGATCCTCAGCCTGATTCCGCAGCTGCGGGTGGCGAACCCCGACTACCGGCTGGCGCTGCTCAAGAACGAGTTCGGCGACGTGGCCGTCGACTCGCAGCTGGCCGCGTCGGGCGCCATTGCCGGCGTGCAGGAGCTGCTCAACGGCTGCATCTGCTGCAACCTGGTCGGCGCCCTGAGCAAGGCGCTGGACGAGCTGCGCGCGACGACGCCGCCGCCCGACCGCATCGTCATCGAGACGAGCGGGTCCGCCTTCCCGGCCACGCTGGCCCTCGAGGTCAACCGCATCGCCCGCGAGACGGGCGGCGCTTACGCCCTCGACGGCGTCGTCAGCGTGCTCGACGTCGAGAACTGGAAGGGCTACGACGACACCAGCTACACGGCCCGCATCCAGGCCCGCTACACCGACCTCGTCGTCTTCAACAAGTGGGAATCTGCCGGCGAGCGCCGCTTTGACGACTGCCTCGACCGCCTCGGCGACCTCGACCTCGACACCGCCTGGGTCAAGAGCGACAAGGGCTGGGTCCCCATGGACGTCGTCTTTGGCATCGACGGCGGCCTGGCCCAGGGCTTGGCCGACGAGCAGCACGACAACCACGAGCACAACCACGCCCGCGACCACCAGTCCGAAGTCGAGGTCCTGTCCATCGAGCTGCAGGGCGCCGGCGCCGTCGACGTGGCCAAGCTCGTCACGCTCCTCAAGACGGCCCCCAAGGACGAGGTCTACCGCATCAAGGCCGTGCTCACCACGGCGGCCGGCGGCGAGACCCTGCGCAACTCGGAAGAGGACGACCCGCTGGTGCCGACACCCCCGCACGACGGCGACAACAGCACACCCGAGAGCAAGAACAGGTATATCCTGAACTGGGCCTTTGGCCGCTGGACGGCGACGCGCATCGCCGGAGGTGCTGCTGCCGAGCACGCCTCGACCGGGGGCGCCGTCCTGCGCATGACCATGATCCTCGCCAGGTACGAGAGCGCCAAGTGGAGGAAGAAGCTCGAGGCCGGCGGGCTGCTGGAGCTCGACGGCAGCGATAGAGGCACGCTAGTTGTCAACAGGATCAAGACTTGAGATGATGAGTGGTTTCTCGTAAAAGGGATGGGGATGGAGAATATAGACAGATGCCATGCATGTTTAGAGTTCGTTCTTCGATTCTGTTTGTTTCCCTGGTCTGATGCATTGCAAGTTCGTTCGTGTTGGGAAGGGCGGCCTGCTAGGAGCGCAGCATATCGATATCACTTCTTCTATCACATTGTGAGTGTGGACTGGCCTTTTTCTGTTTCTCTTTTATGGGGGGAAATTGGATTTCGTTTTCATTATCACCCTAATTTTCTCTGTCAATTTCTTCTTCTTTTCGGTCGTCAATTTCACCTACTGACAGAAAAAAAGGGGGCTTTAACCAGCTGCCACACCCATCAACCTCCACAGCCAGCCACGTCACATTCGACACTGTCAATAGTTGTCATAGATGTCCATGAACAGGTCCGCGTCGTCGCCGTTCTCGCGGATCAGCCGCTCGATCTCGGCCCGCTGCTCCGGCGTCTGCCATAGGTGGAACTTGGAAACGTCGATGGTCGACCGGTCGGGCCGCTTGCCGCGCCGCTTCTCGCTCTCGCCCACATCACCACCATCCTCGGGGGACTGCGTCTCTGGCGGAGTTGCCGGTGGTGGCTCTGCGGCGTGCTGTTCTAGGAACGACATTCTCAGCGCCTGCTGCTGCGTCTTGTCGGCCTTGCTGTGCCGGATCGTGCTGCTGCTGCTACCGCTGCCGCTGCTCGCGGCCGCATTTCCCTTCCCGCCGCTCTCCCGTCCGCGTTCTTTGTATCCGGAGGATGGCGGGGACAGGGTAGTTACCGTCTCCAGATCCGCCCAGCTCAGTCGCTGGCCCCAGCGCCGTGCAGCAGCCGGCTCCTCGGTCACGGGAGGGGTGCGTCGGGCCGCGCCGTCTCGCGCCCCTGTGTCCTCCTCCTCTATCCCGGGCGGCTGCGGCCCCGGGGGCCGGTCGGTGCTGATTGCTTGCCCCGGGACGGGGCTTCTTATGTACGCACGCTCGCTGAGAAACCGCGGGAGCGACTGTGGCGGCCACGCGAAGTCGCCGCGCTGGCTGCGCTCCCTCGTCAGGGGTAGCTGCGGGCCGGCGGTCACGTTTCGCCTGCCGTCTTGCGTTGCTGCTGCTTTCGCTCCTATGCCGTCGCCCGGTGTCGATTTCGGCGCCGGGTACAGGCGGCAGGGCCCAAAGTCGGCGCCGCAGTGCTGGCAGCATGGAGCGTCGGGCTCCTGGCCGGGCTGCTGGCAGAACGGGCAGAACCCGCGCCGCAGCACCTCCATCCTGTACAGCTGCTGCTTGTCCACCACATGGGCTGCGTCATCGTTGTCGTCGTCGTTGTCGTCATTGTTGTCGTCGTCGTCGTCATTGTCGTCGTCGTCGTCGCTGGAGTCGTCTTCGAACAGCGACGTCGTTTCGTGAGAAACCATGCCTAAGCTGCTGGGCGGGAGCACTTCTCTGGTCCTCGCGGTGATGGGGCTAGGAGCAACCTGGCTACCACCGCCGCTGCTGACGCGGCTGTGGCGCCCCTGCTCTGGCCTCCCCCCGCCGTCGGCGTCGCCAAGAGACAACGGGCTCGGCGATCTTCCGAGCGGCGACGGCGACGACGACGATAACGGCTTCTCGTCGGCGATCCTGCGCGTGACGCGTCTCAACCGTGCCGCCGCGCCGGACACGTCGCTCGTCTCGTCTCTGTCCCCGGAGGGAGAAGAAGACGACGACGAGGGCTGGCGCTGGTGGCGTTGTTGTTGTTGTTGCTGTTGGAACATGGGGTTCGGCATATAGTGCAGCAGCTGGTGGAACTGCTGCTGCTGCTCTTGTATCGGGCGCGGACTCCTGCTGCTGCCGCCGCCGCCGACGGCCGAGAGCCGGCTGTCGTTTCTCTTGCTGCTGCCGCCGACTTCGTCGTCATTCTCGTCGCGAAGAGTCCCGATGTCGCTGTCTCTGGTGGCCCCTATCAGAAGAGCATCCTTGGCTCGTCCGTTAGCGCGCGCTCCTCGAGAACCTCCGTAGCGTCTGTCCCTGTCCCTCCTCTCATCCCGCAGTCCACGCCGCTTCCGCAGGGCACTGTCACCTACCATGTTCAGCTGCTGCTCGTCATCGACAGCAGCCACCGGCCTCCGCCGCCCTGATCTCTTGCTGGCAGCCCGCTGCCACGCCTGTATCTCGGCCAGACACTCCTCCTCGGTCGGGGCCTCGACGGGCGTCACCAGCCGCAGCGGACGGTCGGGCGTGTGGACGGGCTGGAACAATCCGGACGACGGCGGCGGCGTCTTAAGCTGTTGTTCTTTGCCGT